GAAGGTAAGATTTTTTATCAATTGATCTTTAAATCGTGATGTTTATATATACTTAATGATAATACTCGAAATGGAATTGAATGGGTTTGTTGTTGGATGAAGAATTGAATTAGATTGAGATTAGGGTTTTGAGACCCATTTGGTGAAAACTTGATCAAATGATTTTAAGTGTTTGAATGATGTTTAATTATCTTGAGTAAGTAGTTTATGAAGTTAATTTGAAATGTAATTGAGTAAACTTTAATAATTGAGAGTTGAAGATGATGAATAGTGAAAAAAATTCAAAAATTGAGTTAATTTAAAGTGTAATTGAGTAAATTAAGTGATTCTAATTGAATATAGTGACGAATTTTTGTCATATAGCGATAGAAAAATCCGTCGCTATTTAGCGAAATTCTAATGACGCCTATATTTTGTTATTACTTTAATTATATCTCATTTTCTCATGTAACTTCCCATTTTCTCCTAATAATTAGGAGACATAACTCATGTAATTATTGTATCTAATCTGTTGCTATTTAGCGAAATTTTAATAGCGCCTTCATATTTTGTTATTACTTTGATTATGTTTCATTTTCTCATGTAACTCTCCATTTTCTTGTAATACTTAGGAAACATAACTCATGTAATTATCTTGTTATAACTGACACTTCTATTTGTTAGAATATCCAAATGATGAGCATAACATCTCCAAGCTTTAAAAAAAAAAAAAAATCCATCTATATGTACTCGTGTTATATTATTTTCCAATTATCTTTTCTTTAATAAAACCTCAATCAGTTATAATTTTTAATTTGTTTGTATTTTCTAATATATCCATCTGTCAATAAATTTCAATAAAATTGAAGGTGACGTTAATAAATTCAAATACGAATTGATAAAAATATTTTTATTTTATTGATTCTAAAATCTGCAAATTTTGAAAATGGCAGCTACTGCGTTGGAAAAAGAGAAGAAGAAAAGATTATGTAGTTCTTTTAATTAAATAAAAGACACGAGAAAGAGAGATGCTTTTTATATTCTCTAGAATGAGTTTTTAGGAATTCAATTATAATTGTTGTCGTTGGTTGGTCCTTTTCTTAAATTTGAGAAGTTTTGCATTTATTAACGTTTTTTATTCTCTTAAGGGATCCATTAAAACAGTACGAGAAGCATTGTTACATCCAAGATAAACTTTTTTTTGGACTGCATTTTATTGGTCAGCTATAAAAGAAGTCATAAAGGGATAGTTAAATGTTTTGTATCCGACATTCTTCATTTCAGATGTGTTACCTTTCATCAAATATTGTTGTATTAAGCGAACCGAGATTTGTCCTAATTTTGAATATTTAAGAGTAAAATATAAATTAATCCTTTTAATTTTAAAAATAATATATTAATTAAACACTTTTTTTAAAAAAATAAATATTTAGTCATTTATCACTGTTGATCATATTTAATTTAATATTATTTTATTTAAAAAAATATTTTTTTATTAATATTTCTTGATATCTATTTTTTTTTCTATTTTTAAACACAGATCAAAATAAATTAGATAAGAGTATAAAATGGACAAAAAAATTTTTTTTGAAACAAAAGATTAATTAATTTTTTGCTTAAAGTTAAAGAAACTAATTTATAATTTACTCAATATCTAATTTCCAATTGTTCTAGAATATTGTATATTAGTTGACTCATACACAACCAAGTCACTTATCATTAGTATCCATAAGGAATCATGCTATTTAGTATAGGTTTGTGTTTTTTTGTATTTTTCTGATTCTATAAATTGATCATTAACTTAACTTCTAAAATCGATTTACATATTTAGTCTATATGTAACAAATAGTTTTTTAGCCTTAGACTAATATTTAAAGAGAGTTCCTCTCATTGTAAATCGTTGGTCTATCAATCTATATATAATTTCAATGCAATTTTATTGCAAATAATAGTGAAGTCAGAAATATTTTTCATTGGTGACATAAAATGACTTTAGAGTCATTAACTCAAAAATGTTATGTATAAAGATTGTTATTATTATTATTATTATTTTTCCATAGTTGAGTATGGTCAATAGGGCGAACCTGATCAGCTATACCTAGCTAAGCCAATGAATATGCTTTCAAACTTTCGATTTCAATTTTCTTTATTTACAGTTTTATGTTTTATGTTTTATTTAATTTATTACGTAATTTATACTTGAAATTCTATTATTTGTTTGATCTTTTAATTTTGATTATTGTAGAACTAGGTTTTGCTTGATCGGAAAATAATGGATACCCTGAATGAAAAAATATTGACAAATAGTGTTCTAACCCTAAATTAGAAGCTAGCATATTTACCGTGAAGTAGTATGGAAGTAGGATTCATGTAATTTTGTTGGTGAATACAGTTATTTCAAATCGAATAAATTTTTCTTTTATGCTTCAGTTTTCAACTCAATTGTAAATTAGTTTTTTGGTTTCTAGAAATTTATAGTTACGTCTTTTATTTTAATTCTCATTTTATAATTTAGCCTTTTTTTTAACATGTATCATCAATTCTCTATTATCATCGATCAAAATTTAAAAAAAAAATTACATTTTAACATTTTGAGATAAAAGTATTCACACATACTAATAAAAATCCAATCTATTTTAAAAAATAATTTCAAAATTGTTTAAGACTATGAAGTATTTTTTATATCAAACATTAATACTTCCTAATCTCACACATACAATTTTTTATTGCCCCAAAATAATTATCAAATTATTTTCTATCTTTAATAATTTTGTAACTATTTAATGTTTAAGAAAAAATTTAAAATACTTCCTAATTTCAAACAATTTTGAAAATAAATTGAATTTTGATTAGAATATGTAAAAATTTTAAACTCAAACTGTTAAAATTGAATTTAAAAAAGAATGATCAATGATATTGGAGGATTAATGGTGCAATATCAAAATAGACTAAGTTATAAAAAGAGAATTAAGTAAAGTTTTGAAAATTGAGAGGCTAAATCGCAACTACATTGAAACATGAGGGATCAAATTTGCAAATAGAGCGGCTGAAGATAATTCAGGACTAAACGTTCCAGCTAAGTAAGCGTGCTCGTTCAATTCTTGTCCTTATGTCCATTGTGATCGCCGTCCCATGTGAGACGCAATGAAAGTCACTGTCCGTCTGATCCCTGGGTGAAATTCACCCTTTTATCTCTTTGTAAATAAAATAACGCATTTATTTGGAACCTCCAGTTTCCATCTGCTGTATCAATCGGTGGGCCCTGAAATCCACTTCGATGATCCGCTCCGAAGACGGTGACAATGACGTGCAACATGCAGACAGGTTTGTGACCCATTTGCACAGTCCCATTGGATGCTTTATAGGGACGTCAGGAAAACATGCCTTTACGTAAACACCAAATTCCATAATTGCCTGGTTCTGGTTGTGATTAATTTGAAGATGAGATTGCAAACTTCAAATATTAAGCATGATTATCGCTAATGTGGCCATGCAATTCTTTTTTGTGGATCAACAATTATTCATTATTGCGGTTAAAAAAACATAAAAAAGAGGGTGAAATTGGCACATTGTTCATGCTAACACTTTTACCTTTTTTATACATCGAAAAGTACATTAAATCTTTTACTATATAATAGTAACTATTCAAGATGCAGTAGTAAAAGAAGAAATAACAATGAAGTCTATGATAGTAAGCAGGAAAGGATTTTGAGAACATGACCAAAAATCAGAAATGAATTTTTAGTTTGCGCTTTCAGCTTTCCTACTGGACATTCAATCCCAACAAAGAGCAAAACACTTGGAAAGGACAGGACAAGGAGTTGGGTCCGGAGTAAAAAAAGTAATTTAAGACATGGTCTGAACATGGTCCAAAAGTTTCACGTGCTCTGCTGCTTCAGTCTATATCAAGAGGGAAAGGAATCATTAGGTGACTGGGGATGGGATCCAGCACCGCTTGTTGTGAAGAACGAACCCAGCTCTGGTTTGGCCTGAATCTGGTAAAATTAAGATGGTGGAACTTGAGATCGCTATTGTTTTAACGTCTTCTGATTAAAGTTAGAATTAGCGACAAGATCCAGGTCGCCTTTTTGCTATAACGTGGAGTGATACAGGAAAACATGTTCCAACGTGAGTGATTGCGTGTTTAGGTTAATTCATTAACTAAGAAATTAGGAAATTTCTTCTATTCTATATTTGTTTATTTTACTGTGTAACATTTTTCGCAACCGTGTATGCACGTTAATTAGAGAGAGAAAAAAAGAATAATACGGAAGCTTAATCAGTGCATGTTTGCTAGCTATACCAAGCTGCCGTAAATAAAGTAAGAAATTAAAATAGGATCACGGGATTTACCACTTTTTTATCCGTATTAACAAAACAAAGCAGTCCTAGTCACAAGAAATCGGCCTGTGAAGCCTCTACACACCAACAGAACATAAAATAAGCTGTCAGCAGACTAAAAACCAAACGTACAAATTAAAAAAGATTGAAAGAAGATGTAACCCTTCGGAGAATAGTCACACAACTCTCTCTCTCTCTTAATTAAAACGGAGAGGTAGGTTCACCGTTTCCCGTTAACTTTACTACAGTCCTACTCCGCATAGACAATAACATTATTACCTTATATTTAGGGCTTCGTTTGGTACTTACTCGAAAGAGAGACCAAAAGCCGTAGTTTGTTTATATTCAGAATCTTTTTACCATTAAGCCATGGAAATCCATTTTTTTTTGTCAGGTTTTACGATGTTTTCATTTCAAACAGGGGGAAAAAAAAAGTAAGAAACTTTGAAAAATGGAGAAAGAAGTAAAGAAAGAAAGACGACTCGAAATAAAATCTTACAACCGGAGCAGATCGAATACACAAATCACACCGGGCATGATTATGGAAAAGATCAAACGACCACGAATGAAAGACACGACAAATAAATACCCTCATAATTAAGAAATAAATACAGGGAAGGAAAGAAAAGCCGTGATACTTAAATTTTAAAACCACCCCATGAACATCGTCATCTACTTGTTTAGTAGTCAGTGGTTGGCAACTGCTCGTGGGTGCCAAAGCCGATGAAGAAGAACTCATAGACAAGCCCGGCAAGTCCACCACCAATCAGAGGTCCAGCCCAGTAGACCCAGTGGTTATTCCAGCTCCAGCTCACCAAAGCGGGGCCGAAAGACACAGCTGGGTTCATTGAGGCTCCATCAAAGGCACCTCCAACCAAAATGTTAGCACCCACAATAAAACCAATTGCAATTGGCGCAATGATTCCCAAGTTTCCCTTCTTTGGGTCAAGAGCTGTGGCATATACTGTGTATACAAGTCCAAAGGTCATCACGATCTCAAGAACGAAGGCGTTCCATACACCAACGCCAGAGGACAAAACGAAAGGAGCGGTTTCCTGCGTTGTACCATACCCAAAATTCAGCTATAACTGTACTGACGAACTTAAAAACTTATTTCTCACAAAAAATAAAAAAATAAAAGTACGTGCAGACTGTTGTCCAAACTTACCAAGCCACCGGTAGCGAACTTGAGAAGCAAGCAAGCGACAGTGGAGCCAAGGAGCTGAGCGATCCAGTAAAGGATGCCACGGAAGAGGGTGATGTTGCCACCGATAAAAGCACCGAAAGTAACAGCAGGGTTGACATGGCCACCGGAGATGTTGGCGCCAACAGAAACAGCGACAAAAAGAGCGAAAGCATGGGCTATAGCTGCGGCGATGAGTCCAGCGGGTGTGTTGGCAGCACCGGCGGTCAGTTTGGAGAAGGCCATGCCGGACCCTTCACCGGCAAAGACAAAAATAAGGGTGGAGATGAACTCAGCCAAGCCTGCCTTCAAGGCATCGGGCTGAGTTGCCTCCTGGTAGTGGCCTACGGCGATGTTTCTGATCGGCATCTTTGTTGTCTGATCAAGATCAAACGGCGGAAATTTCACTCTCTATTGTTTTACACTCCCTCTGGTAGCTAGCTAGAGAGTTCTGTGTGCAAGTACTGGTCTCCATTTCTTCGCAGCTTTGTGCCCATACTTATATTGAGGGTACTGGTATTGGTTAACCTGTTGTATCCGGTTGCAATTTTAAGAGAGTAAAAAAATATTACTTTAAAATGTGATTGGTGGACTGGGTGTGAAATGATTATATTTTCTTTTAATCTTTTCTATTTTCCCTAAAATTCAATATATACATACGTAGACGTGCTACCCATTTAACGGAACATAGCATACGGATTCAAGAAGATACACAGGCTGTAATTTCTTGGGACTCCTTCACTACTATTCCCAATATCTTATAACAGGGTATCGTTAAGGTGGCAATGCCTTATTAGTTTTGTTTAAGCTTATTTACCGGTCCGGCCGTAGGTACAGCGAAGCAATAGAACAATAGGGGGTTAAATTATGGCACGTGGTTGTTCATATAAGGGACACGTAAGGAGCAGCTGATGTGGATTTTGTCTCCTCTTCTCGGCCTCTCGAAAGATCGAATAGTTCAATAATAATTTATACTGGATTACTATTTCTCTTTTTTTATTAAAAAAAAATGGGTTTGACCCAAATAACATGACGTAAAGAGGATAAACACTGCTACAGTTTATTGGATTACGAGAATACCAAATAACATGCAGATAGTACTGATATGATACAAAGAGGATCAGCTTTAATTGAGAAAGCTTGTTAACGTTATTGCTCAATACTGTTAAAACGAGGCGTAATGAGTGGATAGTTAATATCTAAAAAATGTGGCATGTGGTGAGTGGTTGCAGAGATGATGTGGCAAGTTTTGATGGATGTACAGTGTTATCTGCTTGAAAAGTTACATTTCAGTCCCTACAGTGTTAGTGACATTTCACTTTCATTTTTATAGTTTGCATGTTTCTACATATCAATCCTAACGTTTGTTATAATTTTAAAGAGATCCATAACGTAAATGTCATTTTTACCATCTTCTGCTTCACCTTTTCAACCGTGATTGGTAACCCGTATACCCATTGAGTTGAGTCAAATCATCCTCCCTAATTTGGATAATTAGATAAACAGGAATTATTATCATTTTTATTTAAAAATGTAGCTAACCATTTCTAAATTTTCCAAGTTTTTTTCGAGCACAGGTCGACCAAGCTTATTATCGTAGCCTTACGAAATAATGAAATAGCTCCCAAATGTCAATAAATGAGAGGTTGAATAGAGGAGAAACTGCATGGATGGTGAAAAATTATAGTTTGGTCCTATAACTTTACTTTTTAATTTATGTATGTGTCTGTAGTTTTTTTAATATATATTTTTTGGAAGTTTCATTATCACCCGTAGCAACTAAATAGCTGGAATCTAATAGCGTTCCTCTTTGTTAATAAAAAAATATGTTGATAATTGTAAAATTGTTTTACATAGTTTCAGCATTTCGAGACACTCCATTGGTGATTTATGATGTCAGAATTCTTAGTTTGAATCGTTATCAATTAATTCAATAAAAATACACCAATTTGGCAGGTATTATTCCCAATCCACCAATTATTATTTCTAAACTACATTTTCTATGATTATTACAATCCTTTTAATACAATATCTAGTTTTATTATTAACTTAAACAACATTGTATATGAGAAGGCCCTTGAATTGAAAATATTGACAATCAGACCTATGATCAAGTTAGAGTATAGGAATAAATGAAAATCAGTACGTGGAGTGTGTCTATATATATAACTTGCAGTCTAGGCATAAATAAAAGTTTGGTACTACGTTTCATGACAAATCCGCCATAATTTTACTGATTAATTAGAGAAAATCATGATGCAAAAAAAAAAAAAAGAGTTGTTTTGCTTTGATCTGTCTTTGATAGAATAAAATCATAATTTTTTTCCAATTGTCTAGTACTCATATTATTTCTTTCTTTTTCTTTTTCTTTTTCTTTTTTCGAAGCATATGACATGATAATAAACATTTAATCGATATGTTTATTTTAATATTTAATATTATAATTTTTTTATCATAGAAGTGGTTACATTTGTTACTTCAACAAAATATAGAGTACGAATACAAATTTGCAGATCAATGATAAATAACATCACCCTTAAACTTTTATGAGAATTAATCTGTATTTTTTCATTAAAAAAAGAAGAAAAACAATTAGCATTTTTATTCAATCCTAAAAGATATTAAATGCGAAATTTTAAATTGAAACTAAAAGGACGCACATATTTCAATGTAACTAATGAACCTTAACAAATATTTTGTCGCTTGTTAGACAAATTCATTATTTATTTAGACAAAATTTCTAAATTTACCTTTCAGTTTTTTTTTTTTTTTTTTTAACATTGTGTTTTCAATTTCATCAATTAGCATTAGTATTTTTAGAATTCGTTCACTTAACCGTCGTAGTCACTAAATTTGTTTAATAAAACAAATAGCTTATTTATATCAAGCCTCGATTATACTATGTGTCATAAGACAACTTCGTGGCAAGAGCGACGATTTTGAAAAATAGGAAAATCAATAAAAATGATAGAATTACCACCTAGTATTATGGCTATTAGAAAATCACAAGGTTGGTTTATTCAAAATTCAACATAAGGAGTTTATTACATATAAAAAAGATTAAAAATCAGCATACCCCGTCTCGCCTAAGGCAAACTACATTACATGTAAATTTGACTTGATTTTTTATTTTTTTATAATGAAAATTTATGCCTATTTTTTAAGTATTTGTCAATCGGATGAGTGATTTGAGACTTGTCCGGTCAAGGATTTTGTCCTCACTTTGAAATGAATACATATGAAAATGAAATAAAAAGAACATAATAAGTGTACAAGACTATGTGGCTAGTGTGACCTAAATGTTATGCTTTAAAACATGGCTTAAAAATAGACAAATAGATAAAATAGGCAACAACGGAAAAATGACAAATTAGGCAAAATAGATAAAAAAAAAATGGCAAATTAGACAAAAGAGATAAAAACAACAAAAATGGCAAATTGGACAAAAAAAAAAAAAAGGCAATAATGGAAAAATGACAAATTAGACAAAGTAAACAAGAACAACAGAAACGACAAATTAGACAAAATAGATAAAAATAGTAAAATGAAAAATTAGACAAAAACAGCAAAAATAGTCCTAATCAAAGTTCGAAATCGACGCAAATTTAGGCATCATGATTTTCAAGCCGACAAGCACAATTAGGCAAAACGGGCATAAACGATCCGTTTTAGGACTCGAATCGACGTGATTTTAGGGCTTGCGATTTTCAATCATGAGCAAGACATGCATGACAAAATTTGACAAAATTGACAAAGGGCAAAATTGGCTAAAGGAGAAATCATCAAAAGTGGTTCAAATCGCAATTTGGATAGACACAAATTCTAGCATTTTGGTTTTCAAACATAAATGAGGAAATGACAAAAATCGGCAAGCAAGTTAGCATACTTGATAAGACTCGATCAATCACGAGTAAAAATAGTTCACTCAAATAATAAACTTTTCAAATTCACAATTAATTCCAAAGTATTCTTAGATGGATAAATTGAAATTCAAAGTCTCAATAACTCACTCGGCGGTTAAAAGACGATGACGGGCCATTGAGATGTCGACGAGAATATGAAATTATAGAAATGCCTTTTGGGGTTCAGCTTTAGTTTCTTCAATCGCAATAAAAACTTATTTATTTTCGAGTTAGCTCGAGAGGAGAAATGAATATCCGTTGAAAAGCCGAAGAGTCACTACAAAATGACCAAACTACCCTCGAAAGTAAAAATTATGAAACCGCCCTCGTGTTGTCGTTGTCCAAGTGTCATGGATAGCTCATATGACCACCTTCGGGCACTTGGACTATCCCGTATGGTGGAGAAGGTCCTCCTCGATCTTTTTGCGATGGTCTCGCTAATTGTCGTTGATGGAGGAGGGAGATCGATGACGAAAAAGATTTGATTTCTCTCATTTTCTTCTTCGATCCAATTTTGATGATAATGAGCAATTTCAAGGGCTAATATCAATGTATAATAACCTCTAGGACTTGAAGGAAATTCGATTTGGCCTTAAAATGGTATAATTTGGCCAAAAAAAAAAAGGATTTAAATGGGTTGGTCACTGCAAGTCGAGATTGTTTCAACGACTAATTGATGTTGATTCACTCATTTTCTTCCACAATTTTAAGAGGGGAATGGATGCTGCAAGCTAGAGAAGGATTTTCACGATGGTGGAAGCTATCAATTTTTTGAAAAACGTCAAGATTCGGGAGAAAACAAAATGGGTAGATTGGGGGATTTTCTTGTCAATTTTTGATGATTTGAGGTGTTTTTTGACAAGTTTTTGGTAGGATTTTGCTCATAATTTGGAGAGAAAAATGTCCGGCTTGTTTTGGGAGCTTAATTTTGTCAAAAATTGGTCGATTTCTAAAAAGAACACACAAAACAAGTTGGCGAGTGTCAGCGGGATCGGTAGTCTTTTCCTAGAGGTTGTTTGACTATTTTATTTACGGATTAATTAGCGGCTAGTGGCGACGGTTGGTCGGTGGGAGGAGATGGCCGTGAGGCTTTGCAACCGATGAGATTTTTTAGAAAAATTGTTGCTTTTAGGGTTGTTTCTCTATGTTCTTTATCTCTTGAATGTTTTTTTGTCCCCCTCTCTACTCGTAGTGAATGAGGTTTTTTTATATTGAGTTTTTAGGATTTGGTGGCCAAAGTTTGATTTGATCCCTCACTTTTTAGGCTCATTTTATTTTACCCTTTCAACTCATTTATTTTAAATTGCCCATCCAATTGAACTTTTCGATCCCTTCTCTCTCTCTCTTGTCATTTTTGTATTTTTCATGTTTTTAGGAGAAAAATTTAGGTGCTAACATAACTAATGAACCTTCACAAATATTTTGGTGTTTGTTAGACAAATTCATGATTTATTTGGGTAGAATTTTTAAATTTACCATTGTGTTTTTTTTTTAATTCATTTATACCATTGTGTTTTTAATTTGATCAATTAACCTTAGCATTTTTTGAATTCGTTCACTTAACCCTTGTTGTCACTAAATTTGTCTAATTAATCAAATAGCTTACTTATGTCAAGCCTCGATTATACTATGCCTATGGATAGATATTATCAAATATCTTTTGCTTATGAGAAAAAAATTTTATATTCGTACGGGGCTTACATTTCCAAATAAAATATTAGATTTATTTTCCAAGACAACATATCACCATATTAATTTATTTTTTAAAATAGTGTATTTGGTAACATAATTAGACCCCATTGCAAATATAAATATCATGTCGTAATAGAAAGTATTTAAATATTAATACATAACTAACATAGAAACTTTATAAAAGTTAGTTAGTAGGTTAATTGAATACATTCAAAAAACATGAGAGGTTCAATTGAACGAAACCAAAAAATACAAACAAGTAATTGACTAAATTAAAAATACAAGGATAAAAATCAATATTTGATAGAAACACAAAATTAAATTTATCCCCTTGTTTGGATAATTCCTCTTGGGAGGAAAGAAAATAGAGAAAAGAAAAGAAAGAGGAAATAAAATTATTTTTCACTTGTTGTTTGGATAAGAGTGGAAAGGAAAGGAAAGAAAATATATTTCCCTTGTTTGGATAATTGTAAAAAGAGGAAGGAAAGAAAATATATTATTGTATATTTACTATAATACCCATGTGATTATATTTCTATATTTAAATACTTATAATAAATTTGTATGAATAATTGTTTTTATAATTATCTCACAATTCTTTTGGAGTCCTAACCCAAAATAATAATCCGAGTATGAATAAATATACCATCCAAAACAAATAAGAGCATAAAATTCCCAAATTTTAGTGGAAAGAAACAAAAAAAATCAAAATTTAATCATGTGGTTCATATTTGCTAATCCATGATGTCATGACAAAATTTAGCATAAAAGAATGCTAGAAGTCGGTAAGTTTCCAAGCTCCTTATAGCAATTTCCCTACTACAAGTAGAGTTTGACAAAAAGAATCAAAATCAACAAATCCACACGGGATGCGAGTATCTAATAAAGTCTCTTCTTTAGCTTCTTTAATCAATCACTTCGTCTCTCCCTCTACTTTAGCTTTAATGTTTCGCCCATTTGAAGCTTTAAAATCTCTTCTTTAATAAAGTCCCGCAACGAAGGAAAAACCCATCGAGAAAACATGAAGGGTTCGTGCACTCTTGTTGCCTCCGTTGTTGTTGCCTCCACCGTAGCTTTATCTTCATCAACCCCATCTTCTTCTTCGCCTATGGTTGAGGTATTTTTGTTTTTTTTTTTGCGTGAAAATGTTGTAGTACTTTATGTGAATCCTAACTCGTTGATTTTGTTTTTCGGGGGTGTGAAGGATTCATCAAGATCATCATCAATGGAGAAAAATAGTGGGTCTAATCGGGAGAAATTCGCATCAAGATTTGATGGGTTAAGGTTCATCGAGATCTCGGTAATGACTCACGGATAATTATAGAGTTAATCATCAATTAATGTTGCTATTTTTGTTATTTTGAGGGATTAAGATGTGATTAAAGAGGAAAAAAAGAGTTTGTGTTTGCAGAGAAGGGAACGACTAAGGCAAAGGCAAAATTTTGAAAACAAAAAAAAACATTTCTTTCCTCTAGTTTTTTCTCCCCGTTTCCTCCCAAATTTAGAAGGAAAATGAGCCCCATCATTTTTATATTCTTTATTTTATTTTTTTTTGCTTTTCTCTATAATTCAAACAGGGAAAAAATTTTATTTCCAACTTATTTTTTTCCTCTCTCATGTTTTCATCCTTATTGGGTTTGCCATTAACTTTTGCGTTCAAATTCAAATACGTAGTTCAACAGTCACGCGCGCGCGCGCATATATGTATTGTAAGATTCTAAGGTTGCTTGTAATAATCCTCTCAAATTAAAAAACATCATCCGTTACACAATACAGGAAGAGCGGGGTGTATTTTATAGTTTATGCCAACTCGTCATAATCTTGTTCACGTTTTTAACAAAAAAGGAATCTGAAACGAGATAGACACAAATGTGATAATGAGAATTAAAGCGATCTGAAAGAAAAGCTTGAGTCATTGAAAGTGATCGTGTAAATGATCATGGCCACTAGGGGGGAACAATGTAGTTGATTTTTTGATTAATTAATCCTGATTTTTTTTTAAAAAAAAAATCAAAGCTGTCCATATTGTAGAGGTTCTATTTTAAAATTTGTTGTCAGACTGTGTCGTTTGCCTAATCCACGATTAGGAATTATTTTACTACGTACGTCAATTGAGCCTTCATATATGGTTCAGAAACCCTAAAAAAAAACTGAATGGGGTGGCTGCATCATCACCACAACTTTCGGAATTCAACTTGTTCAATCACGGTTAATTTGGTACTTTCAACAGTTACTTTATTATATACGACGTACTATAATTACTATGACTTATCAAATGAAAAAAACTATTTATTATATACGACTTCAAATTTAATTATGAAATAATAAGAAAACATTTGGGAAGAATCGAATACAAATTACTAATTAATTAGATAATAATGATATATAGTTTTTTTTCCTTCCATAAGGAAAAAAATATTTTTGATTCGTAGATTTTTTCTCCAAAAACACTATAATTATGATATTTTTAAATAACAATAACAAGTAACTTGCTTTTATTATTATTATTATTTTACATAATAACATTTATCATGAAAGAAGTGAAGTAACAAGGAGAAAACAAGACTTTCAAATGTTAATGCAATTTTTATATATTCGATGCTTTTATAGATGGAAATATTCCTGATTGAAAGCAGATTATCTATACTGCATTTTTAATCTCGATTACAGGGGCTAGGAAATTAACTCTTATAATTACTGAAAACCAACCGTGTACATGAACAACTCATGCAAGGAAATCTAAGGAGAAGAGAGGCAGGAATATAGCGAAATTACGGAGAGAGTTATTGTATGTAGCCAGGACTGGTTAGATCTGTTGTCAGAAATTGATGTGGTAAAAACTTTTTTTTTTTTTAAACAATTACTTCGTATTCTAGTTCAATTCCTCATCACTTTTTCGTATAAAATTTTAGAATCTACGTCCCGGAAATTATTGGTGATGTTTATATTCTAACTGGATGGGACCGTGCTGTTAATTTTTCCGTTCGTATATATAATAAATAAATAAATAAATACAACACGGAAGCATTCCGCGGTGTCTGCAAATACAAGAATAGAAGCAGTATATATAGCGATCGATCATTTCAAACATCTAGTAACAGTGACACTTTCTTGGCTCCAAGTGCTCTCATGTTTTTTTATTTTTTATCTGCAAGCTATGAAAGATAAACTTAGAAAGCGAAGTCGATTTGAGACATAAAATGTCATTCTAATCCAATCTTTAATTTCCACGTCATCACAGAGGATATGCTTCAGAATATACATTTGTTTTGGCCTAAATAATGAGAAAGGGTCCCATTAAATGCTGTCTTTGTTGATTTTCCAATGAAAGAGAACACTAATTAAGATTTAAGAGCTCTGAATTCTAATTACATACAAATTAATAAAAAAAAATGAGAAAACAAATAGCAGAGCTGATCGGCTCCCACTTTCAAAATATTTTGGCTCTTTCGTGCTAGCAACCAGAGAGGGTTGTGCCGGGGGTATTCTCTCACCGCAACATGTCACGGAATATATTTTAGTATGCTAGTGGAAGTCTTGGTTGGTATTGCTTAGGGCTTAGCTTAAGCATTTAGACAGTAAACTAATAAAAAAGGTCCATCAAATGAGCTAAGGTCACCAACGCCATGTTTGATCCAATATTAATTTATGTGACAACCACTCCACAAATTGCTCATTTGATAAGATGGATATTATTATTTTTTTCCGAGAATAATGAATATTCTATATATTACGTACCTCTGAGTATAAATTCATATTCAGTCATTTCCTTCTTAAATTAACGCTGTCAATTATTACAAAAAATAAATAAATAAATTGTCAAATTTTTATTTGTTAGATGACTTACTGAAATAATGGTTTTTTAGATATGAAATTCTTTTGATAGATTGGTTGTGAGTTTCCTAACCAAAAATAAAAGTTGTCACTGCTATCGGTTTATATATCACTCGGATAATATTTGGGGCGTAAGTTAAGTATTTAAATTTTAATTTATATACTTTAGGATTGGGGTCGGTAATTAAGAGTGAGCATTATCGGGTTTAGATGATTTTCCAACCCGGTTTGGTTTGATTAATTGGGGGAATACCCGAATCATGGATCAGGTCCTAGTGGTGCAAGAGAAAAATTTCCGGTTGCATTAATTAGTAGAATTTTATTTTATTTTATTTTTATTGTTTTATAATTGATAAATATATAAACTCCATATATTTTTATCTTTTTATTTTTTAAATAATAAAAACCACATAAATAATTTTTTATTCCCTAGCTTTCTGCCCTTCGCGCATGATGTAGCTGCGCGCGTCTCTCGCACCCTCTCAATCACAAGTCACTGCCCATCACCAACCCCAACTAAACATCCTAAGGTGCTCTACTCACTTTGAATTGATTTTTTTTTTACCTTTTCTTCTTAAATTTTCTGGGCTTCAAATTGTGTTTAATCTTGTAGGGATCAATCTTTTGCATTTGCTTCTTCGAGGTTCAACTCTCCCTATCTTTGTAGAGGAAGAAGAAGGGAAGAAGACCCCGAGTCCACTCAATTATTCAATTTCAGGTTTTTATTTCTCTTATTTCATTTCATTTTTTTTTTCAAAGCGAAGCTGAATTGATCTGGGTTTATGAAAAATGATGTTCAATACCATTGGCACAATCAATCTAATTTTACTATTAAGCTCAATTTATACGAGTTCAAAAAAAAAAAAAACTTGGTTAATGCGAATAATCCAATCCTAGTTGGCACAAAGTACCTTCTCAACACAAAATAAAACTAACGTCTTTGAATATTTACAAAGAATGAAAAGAAATATATCTGGGGTGGAAATTACTATTAATATTTGACAAGCAATTTTTTTTTTATAATGAACAAACAAGATTAATATCAACCATTATTTAGTAAGCAAAAAATTGAATTAAAAAGCTTATCGTCTGGTGGTAATAATTTCTTATAAGAAGTTATTGATTAAAATCTTAGCATGTTAGTTTTGTTAAGAATTAAGTTTGTGAGTTTAAATAAAAAAAAGTAAGTAAAAACTGCATATTGCCTTAATTGAAATTAGATCTAACAATCGGATCAAGTCATGTATATTCAAATTGAAGTGTTTTGAATTTAAGTTATTTTAAATTTGGAATAATACATTATAAAAAGACATGAAAATATTCACACTAAAATCGATAAAAAAAATAAGGAAAAAAAACGTTGATTTGATCCTAATCTGATATAAATGATTTCAAATTAACTTATGAATTCGAGAGTTATATATATATATATATATATATATATATATATATATAATGCAATTATAAAGATCATAAGTTTTCTAAACAATATAGATATGTGTTGTTGATTTAAAATAAATAAAATAAAAACACTTTCCTAAATATATTAAAATAACTAAGGAAGCATTCAATGTTAAACAAAAGAAAGCAATAGAAAAGTACGTTCATTGCAGTGAGGCATAAATTTCTTTCAATAAAAATTGAAAAATATATTCTTTTCTTAAGAAAAAACTAACTAATATCTATTCCTCCTTCAACATATTTTGAGCTTTCAGTCATGATTTTTCAACAATATTTAATTTGAAAAAGTGCATCTCTAATTCCATCACAGCCTATCGTATAGTCCGAAGGGAGGGAGAAAAATTTGAGAAGAAAGATAAAAAAAAGGGTGGAAATAGTTTTTTTTTTGTTATTATTTAGGATAAAAGGGAGAAAAAATTATGGAATGGAAATAACTTGAAATTTTTGCAATGTAATTGCAAAAGCCATCTCTTTAATTTGAGTGAAGTAAAGATAAAGTAAAAAGTTGATTCAAGTTAATTAAAATCGTCACATTTCGTTTATGGAACTGAATATTCTTTTTTCAAAAGTAAATAAATACAAAAAACTTAACTATTAATTTCAAAAAATATTTTATAATAAATAATTTATCAATATAATGTTTGCAATTTAAAAAATTAAACCCTTATTTAAAATATTTAAGATAAACTAAATAAAAGTGAAAAAAATGTTGAGTACCTGTTTTTCTGAGCGGATCGCGATCCACAGCGATACACGTGCCCATTTTATAGCTTCTAGGCTTAAAAATATCTGGTTCCTTTCTTGAAAAGTAAATTCAAGCCGCAATCTATTAGAGCACGTTCTTCGAAAACATAACATGTTGAAGCCATTCATTTTCTTGCGAAAGGTACTTGGATCTAAAGTTTAAATCATCAAGAAGCTTAAACCATATGGCACCGGCCACCACACGGCACCCCGTGCTTTGTGTTGCCACTTGACATGATGGTTCTGTTATAAGTAAAACTTCTAATTAATTTATGAATT